GACATACCAGTCAATTTAAGAAACATTATATTTGTGGGGAAAGCGGTTGGAACCCATTTTCAAGTGAAACTTTGAGTTGCATGGAAAAGAGCTTCAGGGTTAAAGGCACGAGGTTGCAAATGAATGGTCTGGGATGAGCTTCAGCGTGGGGGTTTGGAGGGAGAAAGGGGGGAAAAGAGTCTCTCATATGTGCTATTGTTTTCTCATGAAATCTTTGAGCAACTTAATAGATTGTTTTCTATCCTGGTTTTCAGCAGTGCAAAAGTAATTTATTTGACAAGTAATTCTGCACTGCATCAATAAATGGAAAATCCACTTCAATTATCCTGTTACTTCTCACTTTGTTAGATCGAGATTTGTGTAGTTTATTCACTGTTTTTAATTAAAGTAGCAAAAGGTTTGGGTAATTCTGCACTTAATCAGGTGTGGTACTGCTTTGTTTACTTTCTCTTCCTGGGTATCTCCTCATCTGCATCAGTTTGTTAGTGATAAATAACAGCAAATAAAGGGGAGGGAGAGGAAGTCAGAAGAAGTCACCAGCTTGTGTTAGGAGGTTTCAGAAGCAGATTTGTAATGCTTCAGCATCACGATCTTGAGGTATTTCTGAGGGTACATTCAGATAAGCAAATGAGTTTTACAGATGCTACATAGTATTGAAATAGTTATTTCAGAATACTTGATTTAGATCAGTTCTGTCTGAACACTGTGCTGCTCTCTCTTGTTCATTGTTTTCTATGCAGTTTTAGAATTCAAGTTTTCTTAATCTAGATTTTGATATGGAAGAGGCTAATGTTTTAGAAGACCTTTTTTTAGGCAAACTCAATGTCTCCATTTACGGTAAAGCTAATACTATACAGGCTAGATGGAACTTGGCCTACAGGAGTTGTCTGATACATTTAGTTTTGAAATAAGGTTAATTGAATTATGGTATTGTGGAAAGCATTTCAGGAAATGAAGGATTGCTGTAGTAGTTTCTGTTGGTGTTTTTAAAAAAAAAAACAACCCAAAAAGTTACTGCTCAGTCTCAAAATAACAGCTCACCTACCTGTCTTGATTAAATCCTCCTCCCCACCATCTTCCAACTTCATAAAAATGGCAGAAGGGAAGGATGGGAAAAAGACATCATGTTTCCTGCCCTGTCACTCAGAGCAGACTCTTCTCTTCTCCATTTTAAAGGTATTATTTATTGATAGTGTTTGCAGTCATCTGGAGCACTCTTGTCCAGAACAGTTCCAACCCCAACACCTAGCCTGGCCACGCATCCCCTGGCTGCAGTCATCCCTGTAATCTGGAGAGACAGGCTGTAGTCAGTGCAGGCACAGCTTGACCTGTGAGCATTTGGCTTTGTCTCTAGTGGTCTGTTGCTAAGTGAAGCCAGAGCCTCTGCTCCATCATCCACCTGCTGCAGTAGCCAGCTTTGCCAGCACAGCTTCCAACAGGTTGTCCTACCTTGACTTTACAACCTTCAGGTTTTCTCCTTCTCTTTCTGGTCCTCGTCATCCTTGCCCTGCACCCTTCCCCGAAGGGTCTGTCTGCCCCTGCTCTCCTTTACCCTGTCCCAATGCCTTTCTCAGCACTCTGTGCAAACAAGGGCTTAAAACTGTGTCTGCACTGAAGGCTTGAGATCTAATTCCCTGTGTCAGACCCTGTGCACTGTTGACCTCATTGGCCTCACGTAGCTTGGTTTCCTTGGGGTAAGGGGTGTTAATTCTGTGTGGGGACTGAGTGACCCAGGGTGGGAGTGTGCAGCCACACTCCCCTTCAGCTCTCAAGGTCTACTGTTTTTACAGTTACTGAGATAACAATTTTAATGACCTGGTACAAGAGAGTAAACACTTTCATTTGCATTCAAACACGTTTAAATGTCCTGTTCATTAAACTTCTGTAGTCTGGGGTGTGTTCCAGGAACCCATGTCATATCTATGTTTATAAAGATTTTTTTCTCCCTTACTAACTGGTTTGCTGTGTGTGATAACAACCTAACATTAGTGATGCTTCCTCTCTCTGTGTTGGTGCAACTGAAAATTACAAGTGGTGTGAGCTCTTTGAAAACTACTGTCATGAGCGGTTAAAGCTGCAGTTATCAGCAGCTCTGAGGATGTTTAGCACTATTTTATGGGTCTTACTAAAAATGGCATTAGTCTGACAGAACTCTATCACTTAATCTGATGTTTGCCTCAGCTTTTATGTGTAACTGTAGCAGCTCAGCAGGTGCTAAATTTGGATTTGGGGAGGTGGAGAAAGGAGGAGGGACAGTGATTTGTAAAAGAGACTGATTTTCTTGAACTACTCCATGCTGTGAAGTTTTGAAATGCAATTCAAGGTATTGTGCTTGTGTTTTATGATGTCCTGTGAAATACAACCCAAATGTAGCCTTGCTGTCAGGTCCTGAGAAATTTTGAGCTCTAGGTGATGGATAAAGATTTGCTAGTGATTGGTGTGACAGTATCCTTGGTGTGACTGATGTCAGTGATGCTCTTGGTCAGCAACAGCTTCTTCAGCCAGGAGGCTCTCGAGCATTTGCTGCTTTTTTGGCACCTGGTAATCCTAAACAGCAGGGAATGATCCACTGTGAAATGCAGCAGTGAGAAAGGGAAAACCGTCGAGAGCAAGAACTTTAATGAGAGGGAGGGAAGTACCGTGGATGGACTTGGGAGTGCAGGGACATCAGGATCCAGTGTTAAAACCTCAAATTCTTAAATCTCTTAATTGTTTTAGTGCACATTAACAAAACCCACTGGAAAAGTGTGTCATCCTCTTCTGGTAGCAAGGAGCGATATGCTGCTGGTACCAGCAAGGCTGTTAATTAGTGCATGTGATTGAGTGTGCTCTGGGGAGCGTTCGTGTTTCTGCACTGAATGAGATTTCTGTCTCTGGTATACCTGCTGCTTGAAAAACTGGAACATATTTATTAATTCAGGGAGCGGCAGGAAGAGAAAGCATCAAATGACTGAGGAAGGTAAATGCTTCC